AGGCAGGAGTGATCCGGGCCCACCCAATACAGCCCTGCCAACCCTGGGTCTGTGGGGCTGGGGTGGCTTATAGGGGGCTGGGCACTGACCAGAGACACAATATGAGGAGGTGATCAGTGCTCTGGAAAAAATAGGTAAAGGTGTCAGAGTGGGGCAAGGGGCTGGGCAGGGAGGTCTTACTGAGAAGGTGACTTTTAAGCAAAGCCCTGGAGGAAAGAGTATGTGCCAGAGAGATAGGTGAGGACAGAGTGTCATGAGAAGAGGGAACAGCAAGTGCAAAGGCCCCGAGCACAGCTGGAGTGGGATGACAGTGGGGGGCACTGCCAGGAGGGCCTGTTGGGCCCACGGGAGGGCGTCTGGTTTCCACTTGGGGGTTTGAACTCAATCCCTGCGGCTGTGCCTGGCCTGGACCACAGCCACTACCTTGGGGGTGGGTTGATGGATACAGCCCGCCCCCCCCCTCCCCGTACCTCCCACTCCCATGCCCCGGCCCCCAGCAGCTCCTCTGCCCCTGCTGGGATCAGGGTGCTTCAGCCCTTGCTCCAGGGCCTTCTCAGCTGTCTTTTGAGGCTTCTTCCATGGGCTACTTCCTCCAGAAAGCCTTCCCTTCCTCCCTCCTACACAGTGCAGACCCTGGGGTGAGTTCTGCAGAGGAGGGATCCAGAGCTGGGGCTTCAGTGGGACTCTGCAGTCAGGGAGGGCTTCCCCGAAGAGGAGGAGCAGGAGGGGTTGGGGGGAGCATGGATCAAGGGCCAGAAAGCTCGCAACGCTCTCTTCAGAGCCCAATCTCTGGAACCCTCAGGTTTGGTTTCTTGCTCACTAGAGCATGAGCCGCCGGGACAGGGACCGCCCCCATCTTTTCACCGCTGTGTCCCCAGTACCCCACTCAGGCCTGACACCCGGTAATGTTCAGAAAAGGAAGGGATGCAGGCACCAAGAGCATCTTCCAGGCGCTGTCCTCTCCCTCTTCTCCTCGCTGTGCCCACCTCAGATTTGGCACCTGGCTGGGCGCTGAGGGGCCCCCAGGACCCGCGTTCCGGTCTAGGGGAGACGTGTGACGGAAGGAGATGCATTAGGAAGTGAGAAAATGCGGGGTGTAGGGAACCCGCTTTTTGTTTTTAGCGCCTACTGTCTACACCAGGTGTTGTCTACACCATATAAATCCTATTTTACTGACGTGACACCCATTTTGAAAAGACTGAGGCTCAAGAGGGTGAAGTGGTGTTTTCAAGGAGACACAGCTGGTGTCCATCCCACTCCACAGCCCCTCTGCATTCTGCCTAAGACCCACGGCCTCCACTGTCGGCAGGGAGTGGACCCGAGCTGTAGGCAGCCCCATGAGCGGGGGGGCCCTGGGGCAGGCTGTGCGGGCAGGTGGTTAGCACGCTGGGTTGAGGGCGGCCCGAGCAGCGTGATGGGGGAGCACAGGCTCTTGTAACTCTTTTGTCCCTCTTCTGTGGGCCCTGTGTGTGGCTGGCGTTCCTGCCCCTGGTGCAGTGTGGGGCTGGGAGAGGCTTGGCCCCTGCCTGGGTAAATGGGGTGGGGGCAAATGGACCTTGTGAATTGGGGCCCACTGTCTGCTCAAGGTTTTGTTTTGTTTGGGGGGGATTTTTGTGGTAAAATACGTATGACATAAAATTTGCCATTTTAACTATTGTTAAGTGTACAGTTCAGCATTGAGTACGTCACAGTGTTGTACAACCAGCACCATTATCTCCAAAACAGGGTTTTCATCACCCTAAACAGAAACTCTGTATCCATGGAGCAATCACTGCCCAGCCCCTCCCTAGCCCCTGGTAACCCCTTCTAGTCTCTGTGACTGTGCCTATGCTAGATACCGCGTATAAGTGGACTGATTCAATACTTGTCCTGTCGTGTTTGGCTTATTTCACTTAACATGTTTTCAAGGTTCATCCATGTTGTAGCATGTGTCAGAATTTCATTCCTTTTTATGGCTAAATAATATTCCATTACATGGATTGACCATGTTTTGTTTATGCATTTATCTGGCGAGGTTTTTCAAAATGCAAACAGTGTAAGTCAGTCACCAACATTTTAAAATCTGGATATTTACATAATGGTATGGATTTCTAGTTTCTTCTGAAAACTTGGAATGTGTGGCCACACAAGGTCTGGGCTCCTGGTGCTTCACGGGTCCCATCTACCCAGCCACTTCCCTTACCAGACAGGGGTGGCATCTGAGTGGTGGGAGGCGGGTGCCACTATTGCAGCCAGTGCCTGTGGCTCCCTGGCTGGGCAGCTCAGGTGCACAGCCCGGGGACGTTGGCAGCTCAAGAGTCTGGGCCGCCACCCTGGGCTCCTGAGCTGGGAGGGGCCAGGAGCGCCTGTCTCTGCATCCTCACAGCACCCTACATGCTCACGCCTGGGGAGGCACAGGGCAAGATGGTCCTTCCTCCTGGGAGAAAACCTGGTCAGGGAGCAGGTGTTTGGGGTACCACCTCTGGCCTGTGCTGAGTGCAGTGACTGGCAGCACATTGTGTGCCAGGTGTGGTGCCCATTGACCCTCCTAGCAACCCCTCCTTCCAGAAGAGGAAGACGTGGCCCTCCAAGGTCAAGCAAGTGGCCTCTTGGGGGTGGTGCCAGGGTATGAAGTCATACCTGCAAGGTGGGCTAAGAATGGGCACCTGCCAGAGCTCATAGGAGCTCAGACCACCAGCCAGTATGTTGTCTGTCCATCCTTACAGCTCCTTCGTCCCAGCAGAGGCTCCTGAACATCAGGGGTAGGGGCTTCTCCAGGAACAGGCCCCACCCTGATGGGAGGTGGGCAGCTCACAGGACCAACCCTGGGCCAGGTGAAGGAGGCAGGAAGTATCCCTAGGAGGGAAAGGTGCCTGCTGGCGTCGAGGCTGTGAGTACGTCCTTCCTAGGGACAGCGGAGGAAGGAAGACTGCTCTGAGGAGGCAGCGTTGAGCCAGGTTGACTAAAATTTACTGAGCTGCAAGCAACGTGGCAGGCAGACAGCAGAGCCCAAGCAAAGGCCTGGAGATGTGAGGTCCAGTGGTGGCCAGTATAGTGGGACCTGGGCTGGGGGGAGGCTGCAGAGGTCATGGGATCAGGAACACACTGGGCAGGAGTCTGGACTCTGATTCAGTGGGCTGTGGGGAACAGGAGAGTGATGATTAGGCTGGTGCTGGAAAAGGGTGGGGTGGAGACTGAGCTGTGACCTGGGGGAGCCGGGGTGCTGAAGAGGGAGGGCAGCCAAGGAAGCTGGTTGGGGTGAGTGGAGGGAATGGGTGCAGTTTGGCAAGTTGGAGGGCAGTTGGTGGCCCATTCACTTTCTGTGGGTTCCCTAATGCGCTCTGTCCCCCCAGGAGAGCTGGCACCTTGGTTGTAGTCACTACTTTGTTTCCTAGCCTGGGACCAGGCTAGCACGCAGTAGGTGCTCAGTAAATACTGCTGGGTGATTTGTTCATTCCACAAACGTCTGGGTTGGTCGCTGGAGATACTGCCAGAAAAAAACCAGACGCGTCTGTGATGGAGGCAGAGGGGATGGACAGTGAGGTCCCAGAGGTAGCAGGGCCGCAGGCCTGGGTACTCTGGGGTGTAGCTGAACAAGGGGGAGCTGTGGGGCGGTTCTGAGCAGAGCCTGTACCTCCCCTGCAGCAGGATGAAGGGAGCATGGCTGCCCGGAGGGAGAGGAGGAGGAGGAGGAGCGGCAGCTTGGCCCAGGAGACCTGCAGTAGCTCGGCTGAGAGGGAGGGGTGCCACTGCGCCGAGGCCTTTCCCATCCCCCTCTGCCCAGGGCCCCGACTGCTTGATGGGCAGCCTGGCCCCGCCCCCGGGCAGCCGGGAGGCCAGCGATTGGTTGAGGCGCTAGAGCCGCTCGGTCGCCATGGGGACGCTCCGGAGGCGCCTGTGCCCAGCACCAGGGACTAAATCTTCATAATCTGCCGGCTGGGAGGGTGGGGGTGGGTCGTGCGCGACCCTGGCCTGGGGGAAGGGGTTGCCTGGGATGCGGTCAGTGCTCACTGTGGCCTCCCCTCCCCCAGCCGCTCTGGGTGCAGGTGCAGAGCCGCCCGGGCACCTGGGCGCCACCAGGAGCCACGCAGTATTCACCTGACAGTGACCCCGGGAACTTGAGTGTAGCTTCAGCCTCTGCCGTCTCGGCTGATCAAGCAGGAGGCTGGGACCGGGTGGGGGAGAGGGGCCTGGAATTTATCTGAAAATGTCTAGCCCCCTAGTTAAAGTTTGTCCTCCCGGATCTCCCAGGCAATGCTGTGCTCTCCGCAGCAGGGGGCGCCCTTGGCAGAGCTTTGTTGGGCTGTCACCTCAGGAAAGCAGGATGGCCCATTGAGGTGCAGGGGATGCAGACCCCAAACCCTGCAGCCTTGGCTCTGGGTGTCCAAGGCCACGTGGCCATGCACAGAGGGCAGATCTGGGGGTGGCTGTGTCTGTGCATAGGCTGCCAGGATTGGGCTGGGCCTGCTTGCAGGAGGGAGCGGGTAACTGGGGCGGTCACAATGGAGCCATCCCTCCCTCCTCAGGCAGAGGAAGGAGAAATTCGAGGGCCTGCTGTGGGGAAGGGGTTCTGTGGGGAGGGGCTGTGAAGGGACAAGGCAGTGGTGAGCCAGGGTAAGAGGTGGGCCCTGGCCCGGCCCCAGGCAGCATCTGGGGTGTCCAAAGACCTCTGGCTGGCAGCAGGCGGGTCAGACTTGAGGCTGCAGCCACTCATTCCCAGGCCCTTGAAGCTGGGCCTCCCTTGAGCCTGGATGTGGCGATTGTGGGTGTGGAGTGCAGGAGACCACCACACCCGGCACACTCCGTGACCACTCCACTCCTGGTGGCCTCAGTTTCTGGCAGAGGGACCCTGTCCCCACCTCGGGCTGGGGCAAGGTGAGCCTCTAAGGGGGACAGCAGTGCTCACCTCCAACACAGGGCAAGTACTCCCTGTGGCTGCTGTGGCCACTATACCCTGGGGGTGTCTTTTAGGGGACAGTAGGTGCTGGGTTGGGGCCTCATGCCCAGGCCTCTTTTTCCAGACGACTCCTCCTCCGAGAGTGGCAGCGGCAATGGCTCCTCCACCCTGAACCCATCCACGTCAAGCAGCACGCAGGGTGACCCCGCCTTCCCCGAGATGAATGGCAACGGCGCTGTGGCCCCCATGGACTTCACCACCACCTCCGAGGATCAGCCCATCAACCTGTGTGACAAGCTCCCACCAGGCACAGCGCTCAGCACGCCTTCCTACCCCTCAGACGGCTGCGGCACGGACGGACTGCGGAGCCGCGTCAAGTACGGGGTGAAGACCACCCCTGAGGTGTGTGGGGCTGCAGGCCCGCCTGAGCCGGAAGCCTCTCTTTCTTCCTGTACGTGTCAGGGTCGTGCAAGGCTGAGATGAAATTGTATGTGCTCAGAGTTGTGACACCAAGTCCAGGGTGGTGGCCGTGGCTGGTCTGCCATTTCCCTGGGGAGGCTGTGGAAGAGGAGACCACTCATTGTGTGACCTCGAGCAAGGCCCTTACTTCTCTGAGCCTGTAGCTGCATCTGTGGAGTGGGGTGATGGCCTCTGACGTGGTGGAGGTGGTGGGTGATGTGTGGCCTGTCCCCTTCCACCCCCAGAACACAGTGCTACGAGTAACAGCAGCAAGTGGCCGCATTCAGCACAGAGGCCCAAGGTCTCACGTTTCCTGGCTACTCTGCATGCCTGTCCCCGTTTCACAGATGGTGCAGAAAAAGGGTGAGGCCTTTGTCTGAGGCCCCAGGGATGTGGATATGGGAAACTCAATAGACCAGGCTGACGGGGGTGGGGGAAGGGTAGGCAGGGCAGGTGCCCTCACCATTGGCACTCCCCCCTGCTCTCTGGGGTCTCCCCTCACACTTCTGCAAGCTGCTGCTGGGCCCATGAGCTCTCCTGGGAGCATTTTCTCCTGCCAGGGCTGGGGGGCCCAAGGTGCCTTCTTGGAGCCCTACACGCTGGGCTCCAGCCGTATACCCCTGCACAGGTTCCTTCCCCTCCCTGGGCTGTTTTCTCTTCTGCAGAGGGGTGGGGTGGGTGCCAGTCCTTGCCTCTGATGGCGCGTCTCATGGGAAAGTTCTGTACAAATGGATGGGTGTTCAGTTGTCACTATTTATCTGAGCTCAGGCCGTGGAGAGGTACTGGCCCAGACACAGCCTTCCCCTCTTTGACTGGGTCCAAGGGGCAGGCATAGCTGCTGTCCGCAGTGAGCAAAGACTGGAGAGTGAGTCTGCCACCACGCCCTCAGGCCACACGTGTGGGCCAAGGAAGTGAGATGGGAGCATAAATGCCACCAACAGCCTGTATCTTACAGGTTCTCTTTTCTCTGTCTCCTCTGACGCTGGCAGAGGATTGGCTAAGGAGCAGCTTGGGAATGTGACTTGCCCAGGGCCCAGGAGGTCTTTTGACACTAGATTGTAAGTCTGGCACAACCAAGCGGGAGGCTGGAGGTCCTGGGTCCTGCCCCCCCCTTTTTTTTCCTAGTTTTATTGAGATATAATTGACATACATTACCTGCCCCCCTTTAAAATACCCCATGTATGGATCAAGAGATGGGCACTAGGCCAGGGGCCCTGGGAGGGGCGACCCCCATGGGCATGTTCACAGGGAGGCCTGGTGGTGGCAGCCACCGTGGGACCAGGTGCCAGTCAATGTGACGCCTGGTGCCATCTTTATCCATTTGTTCATCAACGAGAGCTGTGATCCCCTCCGGGCTGCCACATGGCCACATCACAGGCCTGACCTGTGGCTGTTTGTCTCCTGGCCCTGCTAGATGCCCGCCTCCTGAGGGCAGAGACCATGCCCTGGGACACTGTGAGCCAGGGTCCCAATGAGTGAAGTCAGGACTCACCAAAGGCACAAACTTTGTAAAAGGCAAACGACAGTGGCACTCAGAGAGCCTTTCCAGAGCATGTGTGCCCCCAGGGCAGGGGGCAAAAGATAGGGCATGTGGGAACTCAGCCTTAAAGGGTGACCAAGATGGAGAAAGCAGGGAGGGAAGTGGGGAAGAGCATTCCAAGGGGAGATGGGGGAAGGGGCTGTTCCAGGAGGGGCTCGTGGGGTGAGAGTAGAGGGCTGAATCCCCTTCTCTGCTGTAGGACAAGGTGACTGCCCTGTGGGCTGGGCCTGGTCCCCCTCCCCCTTTCTACACACGCTGTCTGCATTGGGGCTCACGGCGTCAACCAGGGGGCAGTGGCAGACAGGAGAACCCCAGCCCGGGAGCTTTGGGAACATGCTTCGCCTAATGGACCTGTCGCCTTGGCTGGTTCCCTCTTCCAGCCCATCTGTTCCTCCTCCCTGGCAGACAGCACACTCGCTGCTTTTGTGACAGCTCAGTTGTCAACTCAGGGTTGCAGCCCCTTGGGGATCAGGGAGGAAAACCCCGAAGCCAGAACGGGTCTTGGCACAACCAGAAGAGGCTGGCTGGTGGTGGGAATCCTTTCTGTGTCTGCTTTTCCCTCGCACAGTGTGGCATGTCTGGGTGTGGGCACCGCTGTGGAGTAAACCACTAACACCCCCCGCTCAGTGCCTCCAGGGCGCAAGGCCTCTGCATGCGCTGTCACGGCAGGCATTCCTACAGCTGCCCAGGGAGGGAGGTGGGAGCATTGCTGTCCCATTTTACAGATGAAGGGGAGGGAAGGTGACTTGCTCGGGCCTCACAGCTGTGGCTCACGTGGCAGCTGGGTGTGCTCACCATCCCAGGCCCCAAGCTCATCCTGGCCTTTTGGAGACCAAAAGAGGGCCTGGCCTGACCTCCGTCCTTCGCCCTCTCTCAGTCCCCGCCCTATAGCTCGGGGAGCTACGATTCCATCAAGACCGAGGTCAGTGGCTGCCCTGAGGACCTGACGGTGGGCCGGGCCCCCACAGCAGATGACGACGACGACGACCACGACGACCACGAGGACAACGACAAGATGAATGATTCTGAGGGCATGGACCCTGAGCGCCTCAAGGCCTTCAATGTGAGCGCCAGCAAGGGCGGGGCGGGGCGGGGCCATGGCCTGGGCCAGCCCTTCCCACAGCCCGTATCTCCCACAGATGTTCGTGCGTCTCTTTGTGGACGAGAACCTGGACCGCATGGTCCCCATCTCCAAGCAGCCCAAGGAGAAGATCCAGGCCATCATCGAGTCCTGCAGCCGGCAGTTCCCCGAGTTCCAGGAGCGGGCCCGCAAGCGCATTCGCACGTACCTCAAGTCCTGCCGTCGCATGAAGAAGAACGGCATGGAGATGGTGAGCCCCTCTTCCCCAGCGGCCCCCTTCCCTCTACATCACCACTCACCTCCAGCCAGCCACCCTCCTGGGGTTCCTGGGCCTCCTCCTGGCCACTTTACCTCCTAGTGCCCCTGGAAGCAGGCACTGTGATCCCTGTTCCACAGAGCGGGGAAGTGAGGCCCAGAAAGATGGCTCAACTCCATAGATAATGGCGCCAGAGCCCAAGCCCCAGGCTTGCACCACCCTCCTCTAGGGCAGGGTCTCTGTGCAAGCCCCAACACTGCTCCATCATTGTTCTGCCTGCAGACCAGACCCACCCCTCCGCACCTGACCTCGGCCATGGCAGAAAACATCCTGGCAGCTGCCTGTGAGAGCGAGACAAGGAAAGCAGCCAAAAGGATGCGCCTGGAGATCTACCAGTCCTCGCAGGTACCTGCTCACTGCCCACTGCTGTCAGGGGTTGCTCCCCGGCAGGCGGGGGTGGAAGGGTGGTTGTCAGTCATTCTGAAGACACCACAGCCCGGGTGCAGAGGACCAGGGAGGGCAGTCCTTGGAAGGGTGAGGGAGCCACCATGGTGAGGTGCTGGAGGTAGGTGGGGAAAGTGGGATGAGCCCCGTCACAAAGGCCCTGCAGACCTAGGGAGTCTGGACTCCATCCCAAGCCTGGAGGGCCCGGAGAGTGTTTTCAGCTGGGCAGGAACAGATCCAGTCTGCCCCACAGAGGGATGAGCAGAGTTGGGGGGCCCCAAGCAAGGCGACCAGGAAGGAGGAGCAGAGTCCTGCAGGTCACAGCATGGGGTCCCAGGAGCTTTGGGGCCACAGCGTTCATCCACCCCCATCCAGGGACAGTGGTCGGGGCTTCCTGCCCCTGTGGTTCCCCAGCGCCTCCCTCCCCTCTGCAGGACGAGCCCATAGCCCTGGACAAGCAGCACTCCCGGGACTCCGCAGCCATCACCCACTCTACCTACTCACTGCCAGCCTCCTCCTACTCCCAGGACCCTGTGTACGTCAATGGCGGCCTCAACTACAGTTACCGTGGGTACGGGGCCTTGGGCAGCAACCTGCAGCCCCCCACCTCCCTCCAGACAGGAAATCACAGTAACGGTGAGTGCGGGAGACCCGGATGCTCGGGCTCCCCAGCAGTGCCCAGCTGCATCTGCACAGGGTGGGGCAGGGGGGAAGTAGATGCCGGCAGGGAAAGTGACTCCTTCGTGGCACAGGGACCTTCCCCATCTCATAATTTTAGCCAGTCCTTGGATTGGAAGGCAAGGAAGACATGAGCTGCTTAGAACGAAAAGCCTCCCACTCCCTCCTCGCCTCCAAGGATGCTTGCTCCGGGGCTCCACTGGTTGCATGGCTCGGCCTCTCCCCGGTTTCACCACCTCGAGGGCCGCTGTGAGCATTGTTCCAGCTGGGCCCTGCTCTCTGCCTGGGGTGAATCCTCCCCACACCCCCATTTCACCCACAATGCCCGAGGTTCAGTGAGGTGGTCGCTGGTCCAGGCCTGCTGGGTCGCCCCCGTCTCCACGCCTCAGCTCATGACCTCACTTGTGAGATCAAGGCTCTTTCACCAGGTGCAGCTGCAGCCTGTGCCCCTGCACTATGGAGGCCCCTCTAGGTCACCGGGGGCAGTGGTAAGCTGTCTCCCCGCTCCACTCCTGTAAGCTGGGGATTCTCTAGGTGTTTCTGTCACTCTTCCCAGGCAACTCAGATACAGACAGGACACACAGGCCCCGAAAAGATACAGATCTCCCTGTGGAGTCAGGCACTGCCCTGAGTGGGAAGTGGAGTGGCGACCTCAGGCCTATTCACTGAGCCCCGGGTCGGGGTGCAGCAGGGGAAGAATGGGTTCTAACAGTGGAGAGCAGCCTGACGGCCTTGGGGAGCTGGCAGGGATTGTGGGGGGTGATCTCAGGGCCTCTTGGGCCAGGCACTTGGATTTTGTTGTGTGTGCAGTGGGAGCCACGATAGGTTTTTAAGCCAAGGAGGCCGTGAATGGTGCTCTGTCTGCCGTTGTGGTGAAAAGAATTTATGGGGAGGGCAGGAGGCAGCAGCAGTGTGCTTTGGGGGTCATTCAGAGGCAAGAGACAGGGCTGAGGGTGAGAGCAAGTTGCAGAGCAGGTTGAAAGCAAGTGCTGCCCACAGGCCAGGGAACCCTGGTTCTAGGTCTCAGCTGACCATGCCTGAGAATTCCATTCTAGCCCTTGTCCTTGGCTGCAGGAGACCCCCTCACTGTTCCTGGGCAACGAGAGAGAGGGCTGGTCCCCACCCATGGCAGAAAGTCCAGGCACCCTCCACTCACCTGGCCCCCACCACCAGAAGTATGTGCAGGTCCCTGGAAGATTCCTGCCCAGGCTTAACTTCTCATCCCTTCCTAATGCCTCTTAACCTAAAATCAGAGGCTGCCTGGCCCTAATCCCTGAGGCTGAGGCCAGAGTGGCCAGCCGCAGTGAGGGGTGGAATGGCTGCCCCAAGCAGGCTGCTTTCCTTCCAGGAGGAAGCGCCATTTGACAGCCCTACTGCGTGAAGACAGGTCCCAGGGCAGGGAGGTTACATCCCCCGTTACACATGGGGAGTCTGGGCTGCGTCCTTCCCAGGCAGCAGGCAATGGTGAGGAGCCTCCTCCCGGTGCCGTGCAGCATGGCCTGTCTCAGGGCTGCAGCTCGGCTTCTCGAGGGCGCTGGAACTGCTGCACTCCCCACCCTATTCACACCGGCCAGAGAGGCTTCGAGGAGGCCACCAGCTCTGCCCCTGCACTTCCCGGAGCCTCAGTCTCCTGTCTGTGAGCAGATTTCTGGTTCCTGAGAGGTGGGTGGTGAAGTCACTGAGGCAGAGATCTGTTCATTTACCTCCTCACCTGGGGCAGCACGTGTCCTGTGAGCACTGGGTTTGAGTCCAGCAGTTGGAGGAAAACAGCAGCAGCCGTGTGGCTGCACGGACCCAGTCCCACTGTCCTCCCCGGTGGCAGCCCTTTAAATGATCCTTCAGTCAATGCGGTACCTTGGTTAGGCAGCCGTCTGTGTGGCTCAGAGCTCCTCACTTGCTCATTAGGCTGTCATCTGGAGATGCAAATCAGCTTAGATGGAATCGGGCTCTGCCTGGCTTGCTTGGAGTGTGGGGCAACTCGTGCCCACTCCTGGCCCCTCCAGCAACCACCCAGCCACCTGAGCATCGCCTGTAATCAGAGCCTGAGGGAGGATGGCTCCAGATCAGACTGGCTGCAGCGAACAGGGACATTCTGCTTTCTGGGCTGTAGCTACAGCCCAGGAGAGACAGGACAGCTCTGAGCACAGGGGTGAAGAGGACAGACTTGGGGATGGAGGGAGGAAAGAGAGGAAGCCCAGGGTCAGCTCACACCAACTGTGGCAGGTGGCTCCAGCCTTCCTCTGCCTTCCCCGAGCATTGTCCAGAGGGAACCAAACCTCCCCCGGCCTCTGGGTCCAGCCCCTGCAGCATCCAGCAGTCAGCAGAGGCAGCGCAGCTCCCAGTCTGTCCCAGTAGCCCCTTTGGCCACCAGCGTGGGAGTCAGCCACCTGCTTGGCTACTGTTTCCAGCAGTTCACAGCCCCGTTCCTTCCTCCTGCATTTCATTTTAACAGACGTAACTGTTCCATTGACTCTCAATTCCAAGGATGCTCCTTAGCAAGTTCCTAGGACCTTCTTCTTGAAGTCCATGTTCTCTGGTTAGAGAGGAAATAACCCCAGGTGACAAATCATCCCATCTCAGATTCCAGCTTCCTTCCTCATCCAGGGGCTGTACCAGCTTCCTTTTAGCAGCAGACAAGTTTCCATAATTTCTCCCAAGATGTTACTTCTGGTCTAGATGTCTCCAGTGACAAGAGCTTGTCCATCTCTCTTTAGAGCAGCCTAAAAATTGCCACTGTAGATGCAATCATGAGGAAAGCCCTGTCAGCACCTGGGGGGTAGTGGGGGGATGGCTGGTGACGGAGAACAGCCCAAATGCCCATGTAAGATCACCTCTGCATACCAGCGGTGGGGGAGGGCAGACCAAGTTGGGTCAGAAGGCCTCCCCAAGAAAGCTCCAGCTCCCATACCCCCAGATCCTCTCTTCTTTGGCTGTTTTCTCGCTGAACACCTCAAAAGAATGCTTTTCAAATTCCAGGAGCTTCCATGTCTTCTGGGAGCCTATTCAGAAAGCCCAAAACCTGTCTGGAAGCCCTTTCCCAGTGGGCCTCCCGCAGGCTGAGAAGCCCTTACACTGGCAGCCCCTGGCCGTGCTGAGGGTTCCCCTGGTGTGGCTCAGCCCCACAGCGGCCTCCTCGTGTCGCAGATGAGGGATCCAAGGCTCAGGGAAGTTAGAGAACTGCCTGTGGGGTGGCACAGCAGGCCCCGCATCCAGGCTCGCTGACTCCACAGCCAGCCGTCCACCCTGTAGATAGAGCTGCTGGGGAAAGGCAGAGAGGAGACAGAGCCTGGTGGTCCCCCCAACACCCCTAGAATGTTTCAGAAGATTTCAAGCTTTCTCTTTGCTGCCACCAACCGAGGGCAAAGGGGAGATGATTTCTCTAGACAGAACCTCTGGGTCCTGTCCTGACCATTCTGACCCTCACACACCCACCCCACACTCTCTCCTGTCCCAGCATTAACCTTTCACCTCACTAGAGCACAAAAGACCTCTTCAAAGTAAGGGGGACTCGAGGTGCTGCAGCTTATCAGAAACTGAGTGAACACCCCAGCGCCTCCCTGCACACGCACCTCCAGCCCTACTCCTGCAGGGTGCTGTCACCACTGGCTGGTGTAGCCCCAACCTCTTTCCCACAGCCAAGCAGGGCAGCTGGCCTCTCTCTTGCTCTTCTCCTGCTGAACAGAAGCTCCTTCCTTGTCTGAGCACGCGCACACATACACACATCTTTCTTTTCCTGGTCTTCTGTGGCTCCACTGTGGACTCTGGGGCTTTCCCTCTTGGGGGTGTCGGGCCCCTGCCTACCTGCAATGTCTGGAACACCCTCTCTGACGGCCGCTCTGTCACACACACCTGTGCCGCCCACCAGACACGCCAACAGCCTGTCTCACAGGGCTCGGCCCACACTTCCACTCGGGGACCATCAGTTCCCTTTCAAGCTCTGCTCACCATGTTGCAAGTCAGGGAATCTCCTTTGTCTCATGGCCTCCTCCTCACCTGGAGACCAGAGGTGGGATGCGTGCCTGTCGGGTGGGTACCATCTACCTGACGATCCTCAGAAAGAAGCAAAGGTGTGATCAGTGCCAGGAGCCAGGGTCGGAGCTTTGCTCTGCCTGATGCCAAAGCCCGTGCCCCTGTTGCATGCCACCTTGCCCTGCATGCAGAGCCGTGTGCACACGGTTGCCATGTGATCTTGGGCAAACTCTTGACCTCCAGGCCTCAGCTTCTTCCACCTGTCACACGGTGACAATAAGGTTCCCTTCCTTGCAGGATCACCCTAGGGGTTAACAGAGAACTCCACATCTTGTCTGCTGGTACCAGGCCCCATTCTAGGCACTAGGGGTACAACCATCAAGACAGACAAGGGCCTCAGGCCCAAGTGCTTGACCCACAGCAGGCCCCCAGGACAAAGTAAAGGATGACGGCAGTTCCCGGATGCCACACCAGGTGTCCGCTCCCTTCTTACCCTCACTGTCCCTCTCCACAGGGCCCACAGACCTCAGCATGAAGGGCGGGGCCTCCACCACCTCCACCACGCCCACGCCCACGCCCTCCAGCAACAGCACCAGCAGGACCATGCCTACGGCCCAGCTCAGCCCCACGGAGATCAGTGCTGTGCGGCAGCTCATCGCAGGCTACCGAGAGTCTGCCGCCTTCCTGCTGCGCTCTGCAGATGAACTGGAAAACCTCATTTTACAGCAGAACTGACCCCAGCAGCACCTGGAGTGCACCACCCTAGGGAAGGAGGCTGTCCCTGCCCCGGACCTGGCTTCCTGCCTCACCAGTTGGTACATTTTGTTTTTTGAAAGAGGTGGGATCCAAAAGAGCTGTTTCTAGCCACACTCCAAGCACCTGAGACTTTGGGCACAAGGACACTTTTTTTTTTGGAATCTCACCACACGGGTGCTCTGACCTGCTTGGAAGAGGCCATTGGGGCAGCTTTGGAGGGGCTGGGGTTCCCCCCAACAAGGCGCTGGGGCCACTGCTCCATTTAGAATCATCTTCGTGGACCCTGATGTTAGAATCCCACCCCCAGATAATTACCTTTCAAGTCTTAGGTGAGCAGAATTGCATATTTATTGAGAAAAACAAAGTGGACCCTTTCTTCCTCTCCCCTTAGTAATTTATTTTTCTGAAAATGGATTCTTTTGTGTTTGTACAGATTGCCAGTCTGTGTCTGTCTGATCAGAAGGATGTATCCCTGTGACCTAACATTCCATATCACTACACTGGCGCGGGCTGGGGCTGGCAGGGCGGGGGTGTGGTGGGGCAGGCACCGGGCTGGCTGTCCCTCTGAGTGCCCAGCACTGCCAAGCAGGAGGACCTCACCCACACCCACTGCACAGCAAAGACAAACACAAACGGCTCCCCCACCCCCATCCCACAGAAGCCCCAGTCCCACGGCCACCTGTACTCTACCTCACACTCCAGCATGGGCTTCTTCCACACTGTGCCCCGAGCCTGTTCTGAATGGCTGTCTCCCAGCTCCTCCACACCATGTGTCTGCCTGGGAGGTAAGTCCAGATGGGTGGCCAGGAGCTGGAGCCCAGGGAGGACCTTGGCCCCAGCCCTCCTTGCTGCTTGCCAGGACAGAGTGCTGGGAGATGGCAGCCGGTCAGCAGGGCCCTTGCCCTCACCCTGCCCACAGGAAGCCGGGTCTGAACACTTCTCTGCACAGGCCTGGGCCCCCCAGACACTTCTCTGGCAAGGCCCGTTTCTTCAGGGTGAGTTCCCAGCTGTCAGGCAGCCACTGAACAGGAATGGCAGCTGCGAGCTCCTGGATGAACTGCAGCTCCCGTCCTCTGCCCCTGTGGTTGGAGTAAAGGGACTATCAACAGAAGTGGAGAAGCCACTTGGGTTCTCCTAGGACCAGCCCTTCTTCCTGAAGCGCCAGTCCTGGAAGAAACCCATAATCCCTGGAGTGTGAAAAAGGGCAAAAAGAAAAGGCTGGCCTGGTTTCCTCCCTCCCCGATAGGCACTTCCTCTTGCTCAGTGCAATACCTACCAGTGCTGCTAAAACCAGGGATTCGCCCAGACCTCAGAAGGCCCACGGGGCCTCTCCATGCAACACTCCGTAGCCATGACAGCAGCTCTGCGCTGCCCGCCCCTGCCCAGAGCTGGCAGAAGCCCTCTGTTGCCTTTTCTCCCTCAGAGCAAAGAGGCCCCAGGGGACCCAGGGCCGAGTGGACCCTCGGATAGAGAGCCACTCAACCCCAAAGCAGGCACCCCTTCCCAAACCAGCTTTTCTGCAGCCAACTGCCTCCCAGCACTGTGGCAGACCACCCTCAGGAGGGGCGGGAGGGGCTCCAGCATGGACGCCCCGCCTTGCCTCAGATCCGTAACTGAGCTCTGGCTCCCGGATCCAGAAACTCCAAGAGGTAGGGTGCCCAGCCCGTGCTTACTTCCAGCCGCTAGAGGTTGGGGGTGGTCTTTTTTCTGTCAAGTGGCCTCCAACTCCCCACCCAGCCACACCACCTCTGCCTTCCATCTGACCAATCCCCAGCCTCTGGTCAGGGCCAGGACATGCGAGACTGCCCCTAGCACAGCACAAGCTCCAGTGCCCAAGCCCTCTCCCACACCCAGCCATCCACATGTTCAGCGCCCCCTGCTCAGTACTGCTCCCGGACGTTTGAATTTGTGTAAATATTTATTTTTGTGTGTGAACAATACTACAAAATAATCAGAAGATCTTTTGCAACATGTTACCCCAGGCAATTTGTAAAAATGTTAAAAACTGGCAGAGACAATCGCCGCCTTAGAATTCTTGATATCAATTGCTTAACAAGTCATTTCTCCTCCCAGAGGCAGTACCCAAGCCAGGCACAAACGGTTTGCTTTTCTTAACAGACAGAAGTGAGAAAGACTGGGAAAGGGGCTCCCGCCACCACCCACACAGGGGATTAGAGCTAAGGATCAGCATAAGCTACAGTTTGAAGTTGCATTTTTCTGAGTTCAAGCTGTCCTAACTGGCTGCCTTCAGCCTGCCTAGTGCTGCGGTAAGAGCAGGTTCAGTGTGTTTCAAGAGAAGGGAAATGAATGCCAGCGGTAAAAGTCCACTGGGGTTCCCAGCAGCCCCTCCGGGACAGGGGGTTCGTCGTGTTGACCCTGCCTCTTGGGTAGGCTCCTTCCTAGTGAAGCTACACAGGAAGCCCTGGTGATGGCAGAATCAGGAGCAGATTACTGTGAGAAACAGGATCCATTAGCTCCTTCAGTCTGGGAACTTGTTCTGTTTTGCTTTTGTTTTAAAAGATGCAGCTTCAACCCGGTCCCTCTCCTCCTGACCTGGAGAGCACCAAAGAGCTGGTTCTACTGAACCTCGCTCACTGCTGTCCCACCTGCACCCCAGGAACTGCCTTCTCCCAAAGGGAACTTCCAGAGCCCTGCCCCACAGCCATTTAAGATTCTCATGGAGGGCCTCAGGGCACAAATTAATCATTTGGGATCCTAAATTAAGAAGGTAATGCAAGAGTCAATACACCAATTCCAGAGTCTTTGCAGGGGCTACTCCCACGAGAAGGGTAGAATCAGGAGAAATAGGAATTTGGTCTTTGTGGTGGATCATCTAGTAGACCAGTAATAATGTAACCCATCTGAAATTCATTCTACCGTCACTACTCGTACAAACGGACAGTTTATACCTGAGGACAGTGTTGAGGGGGAGGGGGACAGGCAGGGGGTTAGGAAGGTTTTAGAGGATTTTAAACAGGTGGAACCCAGCCATCCGTATTCCCAAGGGCCACTTAACGACTCCAGAGGTGGTTACAGGATTAACTACCAGTTCATTTTCAAAATGCTGCTTTGAACTCAGAGGGTTGATACTTTTAATTTGTAATTTTTTGTAAAACTTTTTACAAGATAGTAAAGTATTTCACCAGAATACCAGTTTCAATCCGTCCATGGTCTGATTTTTATATAATTTAGTGGTGCTTTAGAAACTTTGTTTTTGTTGTTTCTGAGCTAAACAGCTCACTCCTTTTTTTGCCTGTATCTACCTAAGACCAATGTGAACCTTTGTATTTTTGCTCCTAATTTTGGACTCAGTGAAAGTGTACTGTTTACATGTACAGATGCCCCAGTCCCCGTGTGTCCTGCAAGACTCGCTCTTGAGGAGGAAGGGGCACCTCACTAAGCTCACCTGCTTAGCAAAGCCACAACACAAAAACCTCTCACTTTTTACCTGTTTCCACCTAAAAACAAAAACAAAAAACCTACATCACAGAGAACTCAGATTTGCTGAAAAACACTTTTCTAAGCTCAGAAAAATCTAATCCATGCAGCAGATGGCCCATATGCCCCCATCATGTGGTCCATTTAGAAGCAGGGCTCAGAATAGAGACTTAAAATCGCCACTGGCAGGTGACGGCGTGGACACGTGAAAAGTGAAAGCAGAACTCTGCTGCAGAGCTGTAGGGTGGACATAGTTCTCCCGGCAGCCTGGGAATGGGATGGTGAAGATGACTCATATGACCTTCAGGGTCAAGCCACCCAGATTTAGGGACAACCCAAGAGGTCATCACTCCTCTGGCATAATTGAGACATGTTTTGGAAGAGCACGAGGTCCCTATCTGAAAGGAGATTTTAAGTCTGTCCAGTGCAGATGCCTCCTGGAGGCAGCTCATTCATGAGGCATCACCTCTGGGGAGGGGCAGGGGGCTCCAGACAGTAAGCATATGGCACTTAAGGCAAACAGTGGATGGCACCAACTTTTAAAGGTGACTCTTTATTACTTAATCAATGGCTTCACCTCTAAATTATATTTTTACAGATATGCACCTATGCAACTTAACGTGGCTCTTCTAAGCAGGTGAGGACTTCCTCCTCAATGCTCTATAAAAATTATGTGTTCTATATAGTGAGTTTTTCCAGTAAATGTGGCTTAATATTTTAATTCTTAGAATGTGTCTTCTCTATGTGATGCAACTAAATTCTCTTTTGTTTGTGGAATGACTAGCACAGGCCAACTCCCTCTCCCCTCACTTAACAAAAGACCAATGAGCTGTTAATCAAGCTGTTATCTCCATGGTATTACTTGCTAAATGCACTGATTTCATAAGTATGTGGAATCTTTTTTCTTTTGAATCTGTATATCATATATAAGACTGAATCTACTTAATAAACACTGAATAACAAATCGAATGCTTTATTTCCACTGTGTCCTCTAAACAGCAGCACTGCCAGCTACTTCTCTTCCTTCCAAATCTAGTTTGGCACTGAAACACCTTTCTACTAGTATATTCCAGCTTTTCCTAGCCCACAAGCTACACACAGAAGGTCCCCAGTAAACTTCCTTAAACAAATGAACTTGTAATTTCTTTTGGCACCTCATCCGTTAGAAAGGGAAGGAAAGGAACCTTTACTGGTGCTCCTCAGGAGCCGAGCACAGGCGTGCACCATGCTGAAATCTCGCAGTCACTTTCCCAGAGAGGTAAGGTATCCTCGCCCCCACTTATGAGGAAGCAGGGACACAGTGGGCTCACGCCTCACCTAAATTCACCAGTGACCCAGCAAGGTCTGAAACGCAGTGGTTTCCCTGCAAACCGCACACCCTTTCCACTCCCCCAACCCCAGTGCCCAGCTCTCCATCGGACTGAAACCAAACTCATGAAACAGTCCCTCAGTGCTGGCTTGGACCATTCCTGGTCCTGAACCTTCTGTACTGGACAATCCATTCCACCCAAAACCCCAGATCCCACCTTGAAGGGAAACAAAATGGCTGCTTTTTCCAAAGATGTTCACCTGTGCACAGACTTTTTCATCCTACATATATCACTTAGGTTAAACTTTAAGGAAAACTTGCAGGAATATGGCTGGGGACAAACCTGATTGTCATGAGTTTAAAAACAACTCTGTGTGAGTTAAAAGCATAAACATAAGTTTTACTGTTAAAATTGCATATGTGCGGGCCGGCCCTGTGGCTTGGTGGTTAAGTGCGCGCGCTGCGATGCTGGCGGCCCGGGTTCGGATCCCGGGTGCGCATCAAGGCACCACTTCTCTGTCCATCCTGAGGCCGAGTCCCACATACAGCAACTAGAAGCGTGTGCAGCTATGACATACAACTATCCACTGGGGCTTTGGGGGCAAAAAATAAAATAAATAAAATCTTAAAAAAAAATAAAATAAAATTGCATATGTGTGTGTGTACAGACACACAGAAACACATACTATATAATAGTTGTTTTTATAACATTTATTTTTTGTAATGGCAGAAGAATCTTTTTAAAATTGAAATTCTGTACAGTAGCCAAATATATAAAGTAGATAAAAGGAGAGGGGCCGATAGTTTGAAGCCACTGTACTGAGGGGTACACTTTGGGCTAAGACTCATAAGGATGGTAGTAGGTACAGTCAGAGCAGAAGATGGCAGCTTGGTGCCTCATATTTTCATGTGCAAGTGGGGAGGACCAAGGGCAGCAAATCCTCAGTAATACCATGAAAATGCCTGTCCTACCTAAACTACCACTGCTGAGAACCTCCGAGGGACCATTAAAACCCCACAAGCTGGGACAACATATCCAGGACCCAGACCGACCGCACACCGACCACCCTGGTAACCAGGAAATCACTTACCTCCCGATGAAGGGCCGCAGCTCCGCGGGAGCACTGGGATCCGAGGAGAAATCACCTGAGGACAGAGAAGCGCTGCTGGATCCCAGTCTGGCTTCTTGAAACAGGGCTCCAGACTACTGTTGTGAACAGCGTATGGGACAACATCAAACGGGAATGACTCCATGGAACAGGTAAACCAAAATTTACTCGGTGACCAGACAGGTGAACCTCACTTGACTCAATGAGGGAAAAAGAACATGCATGTCACTGTGTTTTTTAAAGTAATTTAAAACGCACTAGGGAAGCTTAGCAGTTACAGGAAACCTAAGAAGAATCCTTTGCAAAGTCTCTCCCCTCTTTGATCTTTTGTATAAACCCAGATTTTATTAGATTTATTATCAGTCAGGTGGCTCTTAAACGAGGGGCCCCCGCTCCCTAGGGAGCTCGTGAACCCTCTGGAATAGTACACACAATTTTGTGTGTACGTGCATTCCTGTGGGGAGGGTCCAGAGCTTCCATCGGGCTCTCAAAAGAGCCGTGTTCCCCAAAAGGTTAAGAGCCACTGCACTGACAGCTGTCTTTCTGTTAACTCTTTTCCTTATAGAGCCTTTGTCTACATCTTTTAGTAGTTAGAGCTGTTCCTTCCAGGTTTTCAAATTGATGCAGAGAGACAAGAGGAAGCAGGGGGCACTGTCAACACTGGGTTTCAAGTGTTAGTCTCCAAGGTCACAAAGCCCACCCTCTCCATCACTTTAAACAGCGTCCACACACAAGGGCAACACGGCCTGTGCCACCTCCTCTCAGGGCGCAGGGCAGGCAGATGCTTTGGGCCCTTAAGGCCCCTGATGGATGCGTGGCTACTCTACTGCGCACATACATACCCACACATCCCTCTCTCAAGAAGGGTCCCACTTCCTCAAGAGCGGGTCGGACCTAAAACAAATTGATGATACCTCGTCAGGCCAGTAAGATAATATTCTTTCCATATTCTGAAACATTAGGTTTCCTTGTGCTTTGGACCACGAGTAAAAGGCAGCTCCCCTGCCAAGCACTGTCTCTATACTCAGGACTGTGTACTCAACGACTGCAGCGTGAGGCCAAAAGCCAGACATCCACGTAGAGCCCACACCACCCCTGAGAACGGTACCTGAAGCCCCAATCTGGGGCCTCCCTCTGGGGAGAGGGTCAAGCCGATGGCAGGAGCCGTACAGATTTCGACCCTAAGTTCACGTACCTATCGTCCCTGCCTGGTGCAAGCTAACAGTCTGGTGTGCCAGAAACTAACAACCTTGTGAAGCAGGAACTACTATCCTCACTCAGAGGTGGGAAGGTCGGCGGAGGCTGAGTCACTTGCCCCGACCACAGA